GGAGGGCTGTGATCAGTCTTACATCGGGGAAACAAAACAGCCACTGGCCAAAAGGATGGCCCAGCACAGAAGATCAACATCATCAGGTCAGGACTCTGTGGTCTACACTCATCTCCAGGCCAGCGGTCACTCTTTCAGGGATGAAGATGTGCACATCCTGGACAGAGAGGAACGATGGTTTGAGAGAGGAGTAAAGGAGGCCATCTTTGTGAAAAGAAATCGTCCATCGTTAAACAGGGGTGGAGGCCTCCGGGTTCAACTGTCCCCCTCTTACAATGCTGTGATTGCTAGTATCACTCAGCCCTCTGTGAACAGTAAACAGCCATCAGTGTGCTAATGATCCATTGTTAGACTGATGGTCCTTCTTGAGCATGTGATCAGCTGGTTTTGGTTGTCAGCAGCAAACTGGTTGATCCACTCTGAGAAGGTGCTATTTAAGAGACTGAGCTGAAAACAGCACCTCAGACTGAGGAAGTCTCTCGGATGAGAGACGAAACGTTTCTACATTTTTTTGTTGATTTGCTTTGTTTTGGGTTTTTTTGAATGTCCAGAGGACCAGATTTAACTTTTTTAGATAACAGGTAGTTTGTTGTACCTTAAACTGTCCCGGGTAAAGCTCCCTTGCCAAAATGAAGAATGGCTCTGGATGTTTCTGAGAGAAAAGATGAAAAAAGCATCACTTGCTGTTTAATTTTCCTTTTCCTTATATGTTTCAAGCATGTGCAAGAAAATGTTCACAAACCTTAAAGTAATCTATTTGAAAAATGGCCTCTGGGTAGGGCAGGTTATATTTTTGCAAATTTGCATACAGGCCAGTTCCCGGTGAGCGGAAGTCTGGGATCCCAGCAGCTGTAGAGGCAGGAGGAGAGAGCAACGACTGATGAAGAATTAAACGAAATAAAAACGATGATAAATAGATCATAATGAACTGCGTCGTTAGTAAATGTGGGAGACTTACATGTTGATATTCCTGCTCCAACCATGCAGATGATGTTTTTACCTGTTTGGATGCAGAGAAACTTGTGACTCCATCAATATGAACTTGAGCCACTAAGCAGTAAATCAGTAAAAACCAGTTCTCACATTTGCCACTGGTTATGTATCGTGCCACGCCCTCCAAAGTCAGGGCGTCCAGAACTTTCTCTGCTGAGCTGAGCCCCAGAGTGTTGGAGAAGAGGTTATGCAGAAAGTCCACTGGCACAAGAGATGAAAGTGAGTAAAATATGGGAACTAAATATACTCACAAAACTGGTCAACACAAGGGAACAGAAGGTTGTTAGCTTGTTAGGCTATTTATAAAACATCTGAACGCAGCAGAAAGCATTTATTTAAACACAAGAGATAAACATGGTGATACTTGCATGTCTGAATTGCCTTAAGACTTTAAAACACTCACACAAGGGAGAGTCCATCTACCCTGCAGAGAAAACTCATTTGAACTGCCTGTATCTGAGATCATCTCTCTGTCACTACCCACACTTTGTGATCATAGGTGAGGACAGGAACATGGACTAACTGCTAAACAGAGAGCTTCGCCTTGCAGCTCAGCTCCCTTTTCACCACAATGGACCGGTACAGAGTACACAATACTGTGAGATCTGTCAGTTGATCTTGCACACTGTTCTGTCACTCTTTAAAAAACTGAGATAGTTGAACTCCACTTGAGGCAGCACCTCACTCCCAGTCCAGAGAGGACAACCCCCCCCCCCCCCCTTCAAACTGAGGACTCAAATTTGGAGGTGCTGATCCTCATCCCAGCCGCTTTACATTTAGCTGAGAACTACTCTTAGTCAGAGCTGAGGATCACGGCACAATGACGTCAACAGGACCACAAATAGCAAATGGCAAAGATTTTTTTATTATTATTACATTATTTTACCAGGAATAAATCCATTGAGATCATCAATCTCTTTTACAAGGATGTCCTGGAAGATGGAATCCTGAGGCCACTGAACTGCTTCCGCCCCCTGGCTGCGCCAAAAAATTCTGTCCATAAAAGTTAAGAACAGAATCGGTGACAAAGAGCAGCCCTGGCAGAGTCCAATGCTCACCCTGAAGAGGTCCAATTAGTAGTCCCTCGCTACTTCGTGGTTTGACTTTTGCAAACTAGCTCTATCGCGGTTTGTGGACGTACAGTACTGCACGTAATTTTTTTTTGTAAGTGCTGCCATTTTGTAGTTTTCTTTTATTAAGCTTTCACTGTTTTGCCAGTCTAAAGAAATACATTACCCAAAAGCCATCAGTTCACTTCCCAGAAGTCAACACTGCTTCCAACCGCTGCTTTCTGCAAATGGAGGGAAAGTTTTGCAGCAAAGTCAGAAGTTCTGTAAGTTCTGTTGCTCACAGGACTGGCAGGAAAGTCACAAATAAATCTGAAGCTGAACTCATCCTTCAAGTTGTAGCTTCACTGCTGAGTAGCTGGGCTGCAGCTAATCCAGAATCAGTGTGACCCGGATCCTGGGAGCTGCAGACGACAGACGGCTGCGAGATTCAGTCAGGTTCTGGTCGTGCGGTGCTGCTCCGGACCGGGCCAGAGGTGGTGGACTAAATCCTGAGCAGCTTTTCTCCTGGAGCGGCAGCATGCGTACATCAAGCTGGATGGGCTTCATCATGCTGCACCGGAACTTTTTGTCATCTATGGGGTCAGACAGAACCAAGCTGCTGTTGTTCTGAAGAGCCTGGTAAGTAAAATTTAGTAGCTACATATAAGTATGTTGTTAAAATTAGTATGTTTAAGGGTTTAGAACATTGCAAGACTGTAGGAAGGGTTTAAGTCTTAACTGTATATAAATAATAAAAACAAACTACTACATACTACTACTACTACTAATACTACTACTACTACTGTAAATACTAAAATAAACAACTACTACTACTTGTGTACAAAATTTCATTCCATCTCATGTACTACATGAGATGGCAATGACAACAAAATTTACTTGAACTTGTACTACCATCCCTACTTCATGGTTTTTCGACTACCGCGGAGGGGTGTGGTCCCTAACACCTGCGATAAACAAGGGACTACTGTACTGCCAGTAATGCAAACCAGACACTCACATTGTTTGTATAGTGACTGAATGGTCCATAGCAATCTCATACTCACAGAGCACCCCCCACAGGGTGCAATAGGGAACATGGTCAAATACATTCTCCAAGTCCACAAAACACATGTGGACTGGATACTCAGTCACTTTCACTCTAAGACCTTCATTCATGTGCCCAAAGTGGTCCATCTGTGAGTCAGACTAACAAAGACCCTAACAAACCTCTATTGTGAGGAGTGATAGGGCAATCTGCATGTGAATCCAGCTTACAGAACACTTCAGCTTCATAAATTGAACTCCACACTCTCTGTTCTTTGAATTGAGTAAGGAGCAGGTCCAGTGTTCCATGTCCTGGACGGAAACCACAATGTTCCTTCTGAACTCAAGGTTCAACTATTAATCAGACTCTTTTCTCCAGTACTTGTAAACAGACATTAACAGGAGTCTGGACGGTGTGATTCACATGTAGTTGGAACAAACCTTCTGGTTCTCCAGCTTGAGCATGGGAACCACCAGCCCATTTTGCCAAAAGTGAGTCAACAAAGACATCCCAACAACATCCAGAGCTTTGAGGAATACAGGGCGGTTCTCATCTACCCATGGAGCCCTGCCACTGCCGAACTTTTTCACTACCTTGGCGACCTCAGTCATGGTTATAGACGAAACTACCTGAGTCCACAGACTCAGTTTCCTTCATGGTAGAATTAAGAATTTTTTTGAAGTTCTACTCATCAGTTCTCCACTTGACAGCATCACTGTTTGAGGCCAACATCACTCCACATCCACTATACTGTGTTGGTAAAGTGCTACTTCCCCTTCCTCAGCTAACTAGCAATTTGGCAAAATCTTCTTGAAGCAGATCAAGAGCCTTTAAACAAAGCCTTACTGAACTCTTCCCACATCTGAACCTCAGTAACAGCCTTGAAGCCTGTCACCATACCTGAAAGTACTGGGAAGTGACCTTCTCATCTACAGGGGAAGACTCTAGCACCAAGCTGGATGGCTATTTGGAGGCCTACATCAGCCTGGAATCTCTCATCATGGCAACTCCAGAGTGGAATAAGCTCCATACCTTCTTAAGGCAATTGGTTCCAGAACCCACAAGCCCAATTCCAACTAGGTTGTTCTCAACCACAGGCACAAGGCTCAGGCTCCCTCCATACCAGAAAGGTGACATTCACTGTCCCAAGAGCCAGCTTAGGTGTGCTAGAGTCAGAGCATCAAGGCCTCCCCTACCAGTTGTCAAAACTGACTTAATTCAGGCTGAGCCACACCGGGCCCCAGGGTTAAAGACCAGGTAAGCAGGTTCTTGGCAACAAGTCCCTACCCCAGGCCTGTCTTCAGAGTTGTCTTTAATAAACAATGCCTGGACAACGGACATTGTACTCTTTTCCCCCCTCAATTCAATTAAATTCAGTTGATTTATATAGCGCCAATTTACAATAAAATTGTCTCACGGCACTGAACAGAAACATTCACATACATAGAAAAGCCAATTAGTAAAGTTCTCTATCTAAAGCGTCCAGTATACTCGCGCGTACGTCAGTCCGCGCATACCGGATTAGAGTCGAAGCGGACGCCCGTAGGGCATGTCCGTGCAAAGCTCAGTTTTTATGAGCACGTACGTGTACTCGGTGTTGTACAATAAACTGCCCGGCGACAGACTGTTTTGTATGCAACACCAATGTATTAACTTTCCCTTCTTCATCCCTGATCTGGCCTTTTCTTTTGTTTTTTGGCCAAAAGGCAAGCGATCTCTTCCTCCTCCATTGACGCCATGACTAAAATTGTGAGAAATTAAGGAATTTGTCACGAGCTAATTAAAATCATGTCCAGCGTGGTTGCGGGAGTGTGTGGAGATTTCCAGGTGGGCTGGTCTGATGTGTGGGCTGCAGAGCCAGCACTCCCTGGTTTTTTTTAAAAACTTTTTATTAACAACATATAAACACAGAACACTGCTGCGGCTGCCAGCTCTCGTTTTTTTGGGGGGTTTTTTGGCGACCTGTCAATTAATCCAGTAGGTGTTTCAGCAAATGACCAATCTGCAACCTAAATTTGTCCCGAAGGTAAACGCCCCTTGTCTGCGGAGCTGCTCTGCAGCTGCTCAGAGTGGACGCTTGAGTATGAAGTCTCAACCCACTGCGAACAGAGCGCACAGTTTCCACACGGCTGACTGGACGTACGAGTATACTGGAGCCTTTAGGAAGCCAGCACACTCGATGAATGTTCACTTTGTTGCAGTCTCCCGTCGCAGACCTCCATACAAGTCTTGCCACCTGGGAACACTCAGCATAGCTCCTAAAATTATTCAGGTACACAAATTCCTCCACCATGACATGGCAGCAATTCATGGAGAAACTGATGACGTTTAATTTCATTTTGCCTTATTTTTGTATTTAATGTCACAACTTAAGATGCAGAGAAACTGTTATTATAGTGTGTGACATTGTTTCATGTATACTTGATAATAACTATAAAAATTTTATAATTTAGTCTTTACTAGATGCTGGTTTAGTACTATAACAGATAAAATTCCTACTGATTCTGCTTTGTGAAGCACATCTCCTACACTCTATCAATATAATTTTGTTCTAATTAGTTAGAATGTAAAATATTGAAGGTTTGACCTTTAGCCTACATTTTAAATATAGTTGAAGAAAATATATTTTGGTATAATCTTGAATAAAACAATCAGATTTCATTGCTGGACCAAACAATGAGAGGTACTACATCCTAAAAAACAAAAAAACAATCGCCTGGAAATGTAGGGAAAGATGGCAATAGTAAGATGTAGAATGTTATGTTCAAAGTTGTAAATAGTTTGCTGTAAAGTGCAATTTACTGAAATCAGTTTTGGTTTATTGTAGAACAAATGCAGTGGAAGTGGTCTTCAGCTACAAGTACTTGGGTGTGCACCTGGGGCAACAACACCACCAGCCTGATCAAGAAAGCTCATCAGAGACTCTACTTCCTCAGGCGGCTGAGACGAGCTGGTCTGGGAAGCTTAGTCCTCACCTCCTTCTACAGGTGTGCAGTGGAGAGCATCCTGTGCTCCAGCATCAACGTGTGGCATGGAGGCTGCACAGCTGCAGAAAGAAAAGCTTTGCAGAGAGTGGTGAAGGCTGCACAGAAGTCTGTTGGAGTCAGCCTCCCCACCATCACAGACATTTACACCTCCAGATGCAGGAAGAGGGCCACCTGCATCATGAAGGACCCCACTCACCCAGCACACACTTTTTGCTGCACTCCCCTCAGGCAGAAGGTTGAGGAGCATTAAGTGTAGAACCACTAGACTGAGGAACAGCTTCTACCCTGAGGCTGTTAGACTCATGAATATCTAACCAGAATAAGCACTGTGGAAAAAAATCACTGTAATGCCACTTTAATTGGTGATATGTAACTTATCTGTGCTGCTGATTATCCATGCTGGTGATCTCATGCTGCTGATTATCTCATGTGCTGAGCTCATGCTGCTGATTATCTCATGCTGCTGTTTTAATTCGTACTCACCTGCTCAGCACAGACTCATGTTCAGGCTGCTGCTGTTACGCCATATTGTAATACATTATTAGTGTTTAGCGTGTATCTTGGATCTTTTAGCGTACAGTTTAGAGTATATCTTAGCGTATATTTTAGATCCTTATTTATTGTTTCTTTTTACACTTTATAGTTTTGCCATTGCTGGGTCCTTGTGTAACGTGATGAGAATGACAAAAAAATTTGACTTGAACTTGAAATGACAAACATCCAAAACAATGATCAAATAACATGTAAAAAGGTTTTGTTCAGAAGTGTATAACATTTAACGCTTTCTATGCATAAAATATGACATCTCAATGATTTTTGTGATACGGAATTTACTGATTTTTGTTTTGTATTTATGTGAAAATGATGAAATCGTGAAAATCTTAAGTGAAAAACTTTCTTCCAAGTTGTGCGCCTGAGTTTAGAAACCAAACAACAAAAGAAGTGAAGTGTACTAATCAAAAGCTAAATTTATTTTTCTTTAAGCGTTGTGTGGCTGCGATACAGGAATGTCATCAAATGGGTTAATGAACATGTTAATTTCATAAACTTAGGGTCAAACTCATTATTTGTCCTTTATATTATCTGCCCATGACAAAACAAAACGTTTATACTTGTACTGTTGGATATGATAAAGTTTGTTTAAATTATCTCCAATGTCCAGTTAATTCCCAAGTTGACACTCTGGAACATTTACAAAGTTCTCCAGATCAACATTCAATGGAAAATTTCTTTAAAGTTTCTGAAATTTTTTTCTTTTCTGCCCCTTTGCAACCCTAGTACAAATGTCAGTACATAGATTTCTGCATTTGGAGCCTACTGTACAACATATTTTTAAAAAGCTGAAGCAAGAACACAACTATGATTCCCATGAACAGTATGGCAGCAAAGCGGAGCGAAAACGTCTTATAAAAGCATGTTAACATACTTTCTGTATCTTGTGCAGCTTCGTCCTCACTGCTGTCTTCAGATTGCTCCTGGAACAGAAAGGGTGTACTATACCATCATTTTAGCTTTCAATAGGGTGAAGCCTTTCACTGACAGACACAAACAAATTAGATAAATCTTACCAGCTTCACAAAAACTGTAAATCTCACCTCTGGTTCTGAAGAAACCTCCTCCTTTTCTTTTTTGGGGAGCTCTACAAAGAAAAAAATAAATAAAATGAAAAAAAAAAAAAAACACCTAATGTAAAAGACTTTGACAAAAACTTTCAGTAAAAGCTAGTGCAGTAAAAAATAACGTTATGCAGATATCTACTGTTCCCTGAAGGTGAACGATGTTCACATCAAGTATATGATATGAACAGTAGTAGACAATCATAAAAGGAAGCTGAAAAGAACAAGTGAAAGAAAATGCTATTAAAAAATTTAAAAAAAAAAACAGCTAGGTTGTAAAGGCGATGTAGGAAAATAAAAACAGGAACATGTCTTGGTTTTTGCCAGGAACTTAACAAATGACATGCTGATGACAAGTGGCACTAGAAATCATATTGTTCATTGAGAAGCCTGATCGCTACAGAGATCAATGAGTTTTTCAGTCTGCTTGTTCTGGACCAGATGGAGGCAACCTGAACTCACCATGGAGTGGGTGATCAGGATCTGCCAAAATCAGCCTGGTCTTGTTCACTGACCTCACCTTGTGTAGATCACTGAGGTTCTGTAGAGCTATGTCAGCAGTTTTGGTGCACATCCTGACAATCCCCAAGTTTGTTCCTGTTTTTGGTATGGCCTGCAGCGGATCACCAATAAGGTTTTTGTCTGGGCGGCTGTGGCTGAGTGGTCAGAGCAGTCGTCCTCCAATGCGAGAGTTGGGGGTTCGAAATCGAATCCACCAAAAGTCACGTGCCGAAGTGTCCCTGGGCAAGACACTGAACCCCTCGTTGCCTCTGATGTGTGCCCCATCAGTGAATGAACGTGATAAAGCTCTGATTAGTCTCTTTAGAATGATTTGTTCAATTAGCTTTGTAGAGATGTAGAGTGCTGTATGAATGGGTAAATGAGGACACAGATTGTAGTGTAAAGTGCTTCGAGTATCTTGAAATAAGATAGAAAGGTGCTATATAAGTACAGTCCATTTAGCATCTGTTTGATCACTCCAGGCTGATGGTGGCCTGACTGTGATGGTTTGCTGAGAGATTCTTATCTTAGTTAGTTGTATTTCTAATTTTAAAAAAAGCATTACATTCTATTTATTGTGTTCAATCTTCATTTTATATTGCAGCTCAATGGTGGTAACAGTCCCATACTTCATTTACTGTACCAAGTGAATCACCTGACAGGGAATGTAATGATATGTGTATAACTCCTGTTCTTTGAAGGACACAAACCAGGTACAACACGTTGCTGCACAGATTTTAGTTGATTGTATCACAGATTTTAGTTGATTGTATCACAGATTTTAGTTGATTTTATCACAGATTTTAGTTGATT